GACCGTCAGACGCTCATGTTCTCCGCCACCTGGCCCAAGGAGGTGCAGCGTCTTGCCGGCGACTTCCTCAACGACTTTGCCCAGGTCAACATTGGCTCCACCGAGCTCGCCGCCAACCACAACGTCAAGCAGATCATCGAGGTCTGCTCCGAGTTTGAGAAGAAGGGCAAGCTCATCGGCCACCTCGAGACCATCTCGCAGGAGAACGGCAAGGTCATCATCTTCACCAGCACCAAGCGTGTCGCCGACGACCTCACCAAGTACCTCCGCCAGGACGGCTGGCCTGCGCTTGCCATCCACGGTGACAAGCAGCAGCAGGAGCGTGACTGGGTGCTGGCCGAGTTCAAGTCGGGTCGTAGCCCGATCATGGTCGCTACCGCTGTGGCGTCCCGAGGTCTCGGTAAGTTTTCATTCTCTCCCCACGTGTCTTTCCTCCCTTCCTTTGTTCCCCGGTCCACTCTTCCCCTGCTAGTGTCGCAATCCTCCTCCTCGCACATTCCTCCTTCCGCGCTGCCCGCCCTCGAGTACGGCGTAGGGGCATGGACGGAAGCCAGTCAACTGCAACGCTGGCGAGCTTCACGCTCGCGTAGCTCCGTTTCATCTTGCTCGGCTTTCCTCCCTGTCGCACGTATTCTTCCGCGCGAACGGATTCAAGCGATCCGTCCGCCAAAACAGGTTTGCACTGTCCGCATCGGCGTGCCGAAGCACTCAACAGTGCCTCAGGTCCTGCCAGAGAGGTAAATGCGGGTGTTGCCGTGCGAGTCTCCCCTCGAGACTGGCAAGGCGAGTCGTTTTTGTCTTTTGCTTCCATGCCGATCACAGCGCATCCAATTCCTCCTCCGCAAGCCATCAAGAGAAGCCCCTCATCAACATCGCATTCAAGTTCAAGGAGATCGCCGCGTCGACGTCCGCAGCCGCTGCGGCGCCAGTGCCTCCCTCCTTTGGGGTCTCTGCACTGGCCGCGTCGTATGTTCGCTGCTGCTGGTACCGGCAGCCGTGTTGTCGTTGCGACGAGGTGATCCCTATCGCGCTTTCTCCGCCACTCTTCGGGCCTGCTGCCTGGAAAAGTGGCCGGCTACTCACAAAGGACGTGTCTTCTTTGCGTTCGCGTAGCTCGCTGTCGTACCGCGAGAATCAGTCGCGGCTCAGATTCTTCCCTCCCCGTTTGGTCGCTCCATCTCTTTCGCCATCTCGGTGGTGCGAGGAGATGTCAGCCACTCGGCTACCGGTCGCATTCTGACTGCAAGGCTGGTTCGTTTTTTGCGGTTAGTTTGCATCGGTGTTGGGCGGCCCTCATGTCGCATCCAGCTCGATGCGCGCGGCCGCCCGTGATGCGATGAACTTTCGATCAAGACGGAAACAAAGCTTCTCTTTTGGTCAAGGACGGAAACCTGATTCATGGGTACTGCTTAGGATGTCCTCGGGCTTTTGCGGCCATCACAACCATTACCGGGTTGGACGGCCCGAGTTGGACGCCACGGGCATTGATGGAAGTGTCTAGGCAGCATCGGCAGTGGCACTGCTAGCACCTTGGCGGCTGCGACAGCCGCTGGTGCCAGGAAGTGCGCAACATTGCTGCCTGGATAAGATTGCGATTGGATCTGCATCGTGCAGAGGCTGGGTGCTGCGAATACAGCTAGCCAGCTGGACACGAGCAGCACAGTGGACTGCTTCAAAGCAGTCGGAGGGATTCAGCACGTGTCGTGATTCTTTGAATGGTGCTTGCGCACCAACGCCTGGTAGGCTCGTTTACTAACTTTCGGATGCGATTGTCATCTTTCATCTCTCTCTTTCCTGTCGATCTACAACGACGTTTGCGTTCCATTCTTTGCAATGCGAACGTCGTTTTCAACCCCGCTCCGTCAACGCTTTGGCTTGGTTGGAACACTGGCTCGCTCTTGTCGTGCGCTGTCGCTCCTTTGCTGTTGATCATTCGCGGTCGCTCAACAGACGTCAAGGACATTTCTTATGGTAAGTTGCTTGTCTTCCCCCCAGCATCAGTGCAGATGCGAATGGTGATGCTGACCTCTGTTCTCACTTGTCTTGCCTCTCGACAGTCATCAACTACGACTTCCCCACCAACACGGAGGACTACGTGCACCAGATTGGCCGTACCGGCCGTGCAGGCCGCACGGGTACCGCCTACACCTTCTTCACGCCCGAGAACTCCAAGTCGGCGCGAGAGCTGGTTGGCATTCTGCGTGAGGCTAAGCAGGAGATCCCGCGCGAGATCGAGGAGATGGGCCGCTTTGGCGGCGGAGGAGGCGGCCGTGGCTTCCGTGGCCGTGGTCGTGGCCGTGGCCGCGGTGGCTTCGGCGGCGGAGGACGCACGGGTGCCAACTCGTTCGCTGTCGGCAACTCCCGATGGTAGATACGCTCCTTGCTCGTCGTTTCTCTGAGCTGCTTTCTCGGCATGGTCGCTGGTCGCTTGAACTTCGTCGTCTCTTAACCCACCGAGTCGTTTGGGTCTCTCTCAAGGTATCACGTCGACTTTAGCCGGGCTCAGCTCTCTTCAATGCTTTCCTGTAATGTGGTCATTTTGTTCATACCATTCCGTCCTCGCTCCAAATAGATTTCCATTGTCTCGACACGATATCTTGAGGATAAGCCTGTGAGTCGCGTGTGACAATGTGATGGAGGGCAGTGTGAGTCGTGGAAGGCGTCGAGTTGCGTCTGGGTGCAGTTTGGAAGCGTAGTCGATCTGGACCCTGAGCGTCTTCGATTGTGGCGTGTCGGATCGAGTTGAAAGGATGCAGGAGTCTGCCAGCACAGGCGGAGGGCTAAAGTGGATGACGAGCTAGGGGCCCACCGAGCCACTTTGGGTTAGCAGTCACTCGAATGATACTGGCAAAGTGCAGTGGCGCGCTAAAGTTACTTGCTCTCGCTTTGTGATGTTGGGAACTGTGACTTTTTGGCGGGTCAAGGTGGAGGCGTGCTGCGCATTTTGGGCCAAAGTCACACGGCCGCTTCGATCATGAGCGCAGCCGCGCGTTTTCACCCATCTCCGCTCGTGAGCCCGGCACGGCCCAAGTCAATGTGCGGCGCGCGGCTGGATCTGGCGTGCTGCAAAGGACCCTGGATTCGGCCAGTCCCTGCCGCTGGCTCCGCCGCCCGATATCGCGCCTCGCTGCCCCTGCCCTGCCGTGCCCTGCCGTGCCCTGCCGTGCCTTGCCCAGGCGGCAGGCGACATCTCTCTCCCTCACTGTCCATGCAGGGTGACTTGCGCGCGCGTCTGCCTCAAAAAAAGCTTGGGCGCATGCACGCTGCTGCAGCCTCCACCCTGCTCGGCCCCCTCCTAATCTCGCTGCGCGGCTTTGCACCACCCCTCCTTCATCCACATCCATCATCGTATCGCTACGAGCACATCCAAGCCCAGTCCGCACCGCATCCTAGCATCCATCATCTATCTCCGGTCCCGACTCGCGGTTCCCCGCACATGCATCGATAGCGAGCTGCGGCTCCAGTAGATCATCGCCATGCCTTCGCTCACCGATCTCGAAAACTTCATCGAGGAGAACCTGCCGCGCAACTTGCAGGAGCTCCCTCACAAGGTGTCGCTCTCCGTGCAAGAGTACTACCAGATCCTCTACGAACAGCTCAACAAGTATGGCCCTCCCATCCCGGACCTGCCTTCGTTCCCCTCGTTCGAGAGCTTCACGGGCAAGGTCACCGAGCTCGTCTCTCCCATTCCTCCGCCGCCTCCCGTGCTGCCTCCTCCGCCACCGCCCACCAACCTCGAGCTCATCCACGCCTGGACTCGTCGACACCGCTCCTCGCTGAGTTTTGCCGGCGGGCTCATCGTTGTCGGGCTCGGCACCTCGTATGCCTACCGAGCCGGTTACATTGCTCTTCCCTACCTCGGCAAGAAGCAGGTCGTAGGACGCGGACGAAAGCGCCAGGTACGCCTCAAGAATGGTGTGCGCCGCGAGGCTGTCATTGTGCTTGGTGCCGACACGCCGCTCGGACGCTCGCTTGCCCTGCACTTCTCGAGCCAGGGCTTTGTCGTGCTGGCTTCGGTGTCGTCCTCGGCAGCCCTGGCGCAATTCGAGAATCTCATCCCACCGAGCTCGCGTGGCTACGTCAAGGCGCTCATCTTCGACGTCGCCGAGCCTTCAAGCACACTTCAGCCATTCGTACGCGCCCTCTCGGCCGCGCTCAGCCTTCGCTACCCGCTCACCAGTGCCGGCGATCCCTATGCCCGCCCAGGCGAGAACATCAGCATCGCTGGCGTAGTCAACGCGCTCAGCTTTGTCGCACCCGAGGACGATCTCGCCTCATCGCGCAGCATGTCATCTTCCACTTCCAACACCTCGCTTGGCGTGCCCATCTCCAAGCTCTCGCCGTCCCCATCGTCCGAGCTGCTGGAGCGCCACGTCGTATCGAGCCTCTGCGTGCTCGGCGCGCTCGTTCCCATGCTCAGGGCGCTGCCAAACCGTGCAGAGGATTCGCCAGACATGGAGCCAGCCACGATCGTCACTCTGGTATCCAGCCCGGCTTCGCGCACCGCACTGCCACGCCAAGCGATGTACTCGGTCATTGCCCAGAGCGTCGCTGCCGGCGTCCAGTCGCTGCGTCGCGAATGCGAGGAGGACTCTTTCCATTCCAAGACCGCAAGCAACAGCAAGCTGCCGCCCAATCTGAGCGCCTCGACTGCAGGAGGAGCCTCCGCCAGGCGAGCGTCCAGCTCGCGCTCTCAACTCAAGCAAAGAGACGTCCGCGTGACCATGGTCGAGGTCAATGCAGGCTCCGTCTGGGGTGAGCCTGCCGCGACGCCCAGCGCCAACCTTGCCGAGCCATCGGCAAGCACAATGAGTGCCAGCTCCTCGCTCCACTCTCCTTCGCGCCCGAGCTTCGGCAGGTCTCCGTCGTCTTCCCTCGGTTCGCTCTGGCACCACCGATCGCCCACGTCGGCGCCAGTGCTCAACAAGGTCTCGGACCTCCTGCTCAGCACAAAGCGAAGACTGCGCCCCAGCTACACAGTGGGAACGTACACCTTCTCTGCTTACTGGCTGACGCTCAGCCAGGTTCTGCTCAGGGTCGTGCCCACCAGCGTGGTTGACTTTGCTCTTGCTCTGAGGAGACAGCTGTCGCTCCGCCGGGCCGGGCTGGTGGGACGTGCCGAGCATGCCTTCCTGCCCTGGAACTGGGGCAAGACCTCGGACGCTGGAAAGGGAGGCAGGCGGGCTGGTGAACAGAGGCCGGCTGGCAGTGGCCCTGGGCCTGGCCCGGCCTCGGCTGCGCACTCGCGAGCGTCGCTGCTGAGGTCGAATGCCGACCTGAAACGCCCAGCGGCTGCAGGATACGAGATCCGCGACTCGGACGTGCAGAGCCTGCCGGAAAGCGAGCGCTCTTCGGGAGCTGGATCGGGCATCCCCAGTAGCGTGCCGTCGTCGGCGTACGGCGACAACGATGGCGACGCGGATGCGTATGCTGGAGAGGAGAGCCCGTACTTTGGCTCGACGCGCCAGATGCACGCTTCGCACGCCGATCTCTCGGCGTCGAATTCAAGCCTGGCGGATGCGCCGACGGGCGGCCGGACAGGCGGCGTGCCAGCGTCGTTCGCTCGCGAGCCGTGGATGGGCCCGCCCAGCAGCAGTGGTGCGAGCAGCCGCCTCGCGCACTCGCCGGCGGTGCAGCAGCACTCGGCGCACGTCTCGGAGAGCGAGGACCGCGACGGCGCCACCGACTCGCCGCTCGGCACCAGCTGGGTCGCGCTCGGCGACAGTCAGCACTCGCATCGCTCCTGAGCGCAGGGTCGGCTCGGTCCCCTTCTCGTTTCCATCTCCATCGAAGTCTTGCACAGCCTCTTCATTTGTCAAGTCTCCAACGTATCTTGTCGTGTCATAACTGTATGTTCTGCGCAGCTCATCATGCAGCTGGTTCTTCTTGCACCGGTCCTCTCAAGGCGTAAGCGTGCGTGGAAGGGTCTTCAATCAATGATGGGTGAGAGAAACGAAGACTGGAGAAGGTTTTGGATTGTAACGGTGCAAAGCTCATGAAGCTAGGGCCAGGAAGGATTTACTCGTCGGCGGAGTAAGCGGACTCGTGAATCTTGACGGCGCGGCCAGAGGGGTCTGAAGCGCAACCCCAGTCTGCACGCGGGATCCAGCGGACCGAGGTGGAAGCGGCGGCGTCCGAGGGGAACCAGGACTCGAAGATCTCGCGGATCATGTAGGCCTCCTTGGTATCGGGGGTGTCTGTGGGGTACCTCTTTGCGCGTTCCTGGAACTTTTCGTCGCTGATGGAGGATTCAGCGTGGTCCTTGATGCCATCGATCCACGAGTAGCCCACGCCGTCGGAGAACTGTTCCTTCTGACGCCAGAGGATGTCTTCGGGCAGGTAGGGTTTCTTGGGTGCCGAAGCGGAGAGCATGCTGCCCGTACCGTCACCACCGGCCTCAATGTCATCCGGGATCACATCAAACGCCTTGCGCAGGATGTACTTCTCCATGCGCGGTCGACCGTCAGCATCCACCTCCTGCAACGAACCCTTGGAGAACATCTTGTCCGCCGCATCGGTGTTCATGGCCACATCGAGGAAGGCCTTGTCGAGGAACGGCACACGCGCCTCGAGACCCCATGCCATCGTACTCTTGTTGGCACGCAGACAGTCGGCAGTGTGCAGGTTCTTGACGCGGCGCACGCACTCCTGGTGGAACGACGCCTTGTCCGGAGCAGCGTGGAAGTAGAGGTAGCCTCCAAAGATCTCGTCGGACCCTTCGCCGGAGAGCACCATCTTGACGCCCATCGCCTTGATCTTGCGCGAGAGCAGGTACATGGGCGTCGACGCGCGCACCGTGGTCACATCGTACGTCTCGAGGTGGAAGATGACGTCGGCAATCGCATCGAGACCCTCCTGAACGGTAAAGGTGTACTCGTGGTGCACGGTGCCCAGGAACTGCGCCGCCTTGCGAGCCGCGAGCAGGTCGGGCGAGCCGGGCAGACCGATGGAGAAGGAGTGGAGACGCGGCCAAGCGGCCAGGTTCTCCACCTCGTTCTCGGCATCCTCGTCCAGACCGACGGGGAGCTTGGCACCGTTGGCGTTGCCGGCGGGCGTGGTGACGCCGCGGGCACGGCGAGCCTGACGCTCCTCCCACGCCTTGCGCTGGAGGTCGGCCATCTTGTCGGTCTCTCTCGCCGCGATCGAGGCGATGAGCGACGAGTCGAGACCACCGGAGAGCAGCACGCCGTAGGGCACCTCGGACATGAGACGCTTGCGCACCGCCTTTTCGAGCGCTTCGCGGATCTGCTTGAGGTCGGTGGGGTTGGCGGGGATCACGGCGCCGTCGGCATCGGTGTCGAGCCAGTTGGGCGTGTAGTAGCGCACGGTCTCCTTGCCCTCGGGGAGGGCCGAGTCGTAGAAGTGGCCGGG